GGCGGAGGCGGAGGCCGGCCCCCCGCCGCTCGGAGCCCGGCCGGAGCCTCCCAGGCAGGTGCCGAGCGGGGCGAGGGGGCGGGGGCTGACAGATCGCCTGCCCTGGTGAGGGGGCGTCCAGAACCGAGCTGCGCCTTCTGCCCACCAGGGCGCCCGGCGGACACCGGCTGGGAGAGCAAGGGGGTGGGAGCCCCCAAACTGCGCGGCAGCCATTTGGGGCACCAGTTTGCATCTGGGGGTCCTGGACTTCCTCCGGGGACGCCCCATTCACAAAATTCCGTCCTGGACCCTTACCATTGAGGAACTCTGAGGACCACTCCCACAGGGGACCATAGATGTGGGGTGGCATGGGGCACTCTGAAATCCTGGTGCCCCATGTCAGCTAGGCCCGGGAGGGTACCCCTACCCTCTTTCCTGCTTCACCTGTTGGCGGGGGAGGCGGGCGGACAAAGGAAGCAGCGTCACGTGACTGCTCATTCACAAAATCTCATCCCATTGAGAAAAGGGGGCTGGGGGCGCTGCGGCCGCCCCTTCCCCTCCCGAAGGGCTGGAGAAACCAGACTGCCTGCAGGTGGGGGAGGGGGTTAGAATACATTGCCTGGGTCCTTAAGGCTGGGACGCCAGGGTCCCTACGCTGAGTGGCAGTGAGGGGTTGGACGCTGATCCCGATTACTGGGCGGAGGGCTACGTCCCCTGAGCTGGGGGGCGGGGTAAGATGGTTCTGAAGGATGCTGGGCGGGGTGGGGGTGGGAGGGGGAGGAGGGATCAATCTCCTCCCCCCATCTCTCCCCTTTGGCTTCCCCTGGCTGGGGCCTGCGGGAGCAGCCTTGATTTTTGTGAATGAAATGCTCTCTGGATAGGTCTTCTGTCTTCCGTTCCGGGCTCCCTCTGCCTCCATCTCCCTCTCGGCCGTTCTTTCTGGCCATTTCTGGTTCTCTCCCTGCTCCCTGCCCATCTCCCGTTGCTGGGTGACTCAGTGAGCTTTGCATCCGGTCTCATTCATAAATCCGGGAAGGGGTGGGGGGAAGAGCCTGGGTTTCTCACCCAGCCAGTGGCCTGGGTGACAGGGTGCGGAGGCAGTGTTGGGGGAACTGGAGCTTAGTTGATGGGCCCCCGAGAAAATACATATGCGCAGGCACCCTGCTGTCAGGGGGGACGATGGGTGGGGTTGTGGGTATGTGCTGTGGAGGAGATGGGGTTGATAGGGGATGAGCAGGAGGGGGAGGGGAGGTAAAACCCCTGGCTGTGGTGGTGAGGGTGGGAAAGATGGGGCAAAGGTGGGTGTGGAGAGAACAGGTAGATCTGGACAGGAAGGGCAGATGGGGGAGAAAAGAGACGGCAAGAGAAAGAAAGAAGCCATGCCGGAAGAGGTGGGCATGGGAGAGAAGGTAGTTCTCTGTGGCCGAGGGCACAGTGGATCCAGATGAAGATGGAGGGGAGATGAGACTTGGGGAACACTGAATGGGGGGGGCAGGATTGGAGCCCACTGACTGTCATCCCTGTCCCTCACCTCCTCTAGGTACATGGTGCGGGTCCGAGCCGTGGTGATGGCCCGAGATGACTCCAGTGGGGGCTGGCTGCC